CTTTAAATCGCATTCCCCACGAAGAAGTTTGAATTCTGCGAAAGTGTGAAACACGTCTCAAATGATTTTTCTAATAGATCTCTGGAAATGAATTTGAGTGCGAAACGTCACCCACCAAATCTTTGACCTCCATTTCCACCAAGGAGGAATGGATTTTTCAAAAAGTGTGAAACACCCCTTAAATGAATTTAAACATAGATCTTTAAATATGTTACATACAAACGTTTTTCGCGATTTTTCCACACTTGCGAGTGGAATTTCCCGAAACCCCGTCTTAACGTGCACATACATCACATAAAGTAACCACAGTGAAAATTTCAGCTTCCTAGCTCTTACGGTTTGGGCTGTGCGTTGATCCCCAATCAGTCAGTCAGTCTGTCAGTCAGTCAGTCAGTCAGTCAGTCAGTCAGTCAGTCAGGACAAACAGTTTTATATATAGAGATATAAGAGACCTTGAGACAGCCAAATCGAAAATCTTATGTATATATAGGATATAGTTACAAACGGATGAATAACTTTTAAAAATGGTGCTATCTTTCTGCTAAGTATACTATGCCCATAAACTAGCCTGGGATTCAAACCTGGATTTTTGTTCTTCAACTTTAAAACTATTAAAAGAGTAATTAACAAAATATTCAATTCATAGGCTCTTCTACAATCCCTATAAATAATTTATAAAAAACGTTAAGAGAATAATGTTCCAATAATCCCAATTGTTTAATTCTCTTGTAAAAGAATACTCACCATATCAAAAATATATCCATAGATGATAAAATGTTTTAATATAATTATGCATTTTTTATTAAAGTTCATTTTAGGAAAATATTATGTTCTACACATTTAATAAATGTTAATTATTTATATTTAATTTTATAAAATATTATTTTCTGCCATGATGCCACTACAAATATGGCAGGGCGAGAGGGCGGCACATTGTCCAGCAAACCAGTTGGCTGTGGCTCAAACGACTGCACCGCCATGTCGTGCTCCTCGCGTGCAGCGCATTTTGTGGACAGCGCCGGCAGCAAAATGAAAAGCTGAACTGCAAGTATATGCCAAGTGAAGCGCAAATGGCTGGAAAGGTCTCTGTCTCAGTCTCAGTCTCAGTTTTAGTTAACGTATTCAGTTTTGCCTTTTTGCAGTTGTTGGTTGCCAGCAGCAGGCGCAAGGCACCAGGCACCAGGCAGCAAGCTTCGCACATGTGCGTCCAGCACTCAGGCCCTGCATCGCCCACTTCACCTGATTGCGATTGGGCCCCATCAAACTGTAACTGCAAGCGCAACGCGTTGAAAGATGATTTTCATGTTTTTCCTCGCCAACTGCCCTCGACCCGTGGGCCATGCCAACACGTTGGCCTGTTTCGCCTCAATGGACTCAATGGCTCCTAACGATGCCCGATGCAATCTTGTTGTCTTAACCGCGTTTACTGACATCTTGATGTTTCGATTGTCTCGATTTTGAATGAAATGCTTCGCGTTGCATCACCCGCTCTTCAGTTTAATGCGCTATTCCGCATATTGTGACAAGCGGATGAAATTGAATTGCAATCTTTGATTGGCCACATGCTGTACCCTGTGTGTCCTCCCTTAACAAGTTGTTGGATTAACGGTGCTTCATTTTATTAGCTCATCGTCGATCAAATCAATTTAAATTTAAGCCACTTTTCCTTATTACACTTGGAGTATATTGAGCTGACTGCTACCAGTTTTAAATAATTGATTTTCAACTTCTGGCAAAGGGGAAATCCGAATGGAAGGCAATGTAACCTTTGTCTTTTTATATCCTGATAAGGTTTTTATGCTTTTATGAAAATGTGTGTGAAAGGCGGAAGGAAGCATCTCCGGAACGCGTCGATCTCGAAATCTATAGAAGCCTGGGGCAAAGGGAAGAAGAAGCACTAGCGAGCAAAAATTTAATGCTCAGCTAACCGAGCAGTCCGGACTATAACACCTTTACTTGTTTTTTTCTTCGCGCTCTGCGCTACTGCAGGCTGCAAGTGCAAAGGTCAACCTTGAAGAGTGGCTTGGTAAGAAATCTTTATCTCATAATCTTCAGAAAATTAACTTTAATTAGCATGTACATAATGAGATTCTGTAAACAACAAGCCAGAAAACAGAAGAACCCACTAAAGTTGTTGTACAATATGGACTGCATGTGGGATATACATAAGTAAAATGTGATCTAAACCGAGAGGCATACCATTAATTGATTTTGATATTCCTACCCATATAGCATTAGTTACTGCTCAGCCTTTAAAAAAACATGGGACAATCTAAATAATATATACTTTATTTGGAATTTCTTACCAAGTCTTTTACCCCAAATACTTAAAGTAAATAACAGGTAAATATTCTGAAAGAAGGGTTTTATACATATATGAGAAATATATTCTTATAGTATATGCTACCGGGCCATTTAACATATGTGGAAAGAAGAATCTCTGTTAGTTTGCAGAACAACTCCAAAGGAGTAACAATGGCAGTCAAACTGCGCAGTGCAGTGACTGCAAAACCAACATTGACATAGGCGCACAACGACCAATAGATGGCGCATGCAATATGCTGCTGCCATCTATTGCATGACAGCTGCAACTGCTGAAAATTGTATATATGTTCTTTTGGGAAGGGAAGCAATGCATGATGTGTATATTCCAATTGTGTGTTTTATATATTTGCACCTTCAGTCTTTTTGTGTTAATATTTACGTATATTATTAACTTTTTCGCTGATATTTTTATTTGTATTGATTTCTTTTGATTGTGACTTCTGCTTGCCATCACTCTTGTTTGTATGTCTGTTAGTTCAATAATGGTCATTCACTTTTTGGTTTTATTTATAAATTTAAAGTTTTTAATTCTTTTTATCTTTTTGTCTTTTTTTCAACTATTTTTATACTCATTGAGTTGTTTTATTATTGAGGCTAGTGTAGTGTTTTTACTGCTTCACCTCGCTTGTCCGTCCGTCCGTCCGTCCGTCCGTCCGTTCGACTGTTTATAAAGCAACAAAATGTCTGTAGGGCCTCCACCGCAGGTCGTGGACGACGACTGCGCCGTTGCGAGTCTCAACTGAAAATGTTTGGTGGTTGAACAAGTCAGAAAAAATTGAACATTTCATCGGAACGGGTTCGGGTAGGGGTGCACTGAGCGAAACCGGTCGGATTGCTCAGCTGTGACGCATAGGAAGTTTATATATATATTTATTTTTAAAGATATCAGTTGCTACAATAAGTAAACAATTGCTAAAGGAGCTCAAATTTGGAGAAACTAGAAAGTACTTAAACTTCTAATATAATTTTAATTGTTTTGATTCATAGCATGTTTTCCTCTGTGTAGGGGCAGGGGCAGAGCCAGCGCCAGCCAAAATGGGCTTGGCCTGCGCATTTGAGTGAGAGGATTTCTGCTGCTCATTTAGCTCTGTCTCAGTCTCTAAGTCTATGTCTGTCGCTCACCTTGTCTGGGTTCCTCTCTATATTTAGCAGTTGCTTCTTGTGGCACTCACTTAAATCCCATTTCTATGGCTTTTCGACGTTTGAATTAACTTAATTGATTTCTGGCAGGCTCGTGAATGCAGCAGCTCTCATTTGTTTTGTGAAATTTTATTTATAGTAAGTGTATAGACCAGAAAATATTATGGGATTTTCTGGAAAACCTAGGAGCTAGCTATTAGGTTAATTTTTAAGCTATGACTTTAGTGATTTTATAGCGAATGCTTGTGATTTTAGTTTAAAAAAATGACTGAAATTTATTTACAAGTTAATTTATAAATATATGTATATATTATACAAAATAATGGAATTCATACAAAGGGATTAATATAATATTAAGTTTTCTTTAATTTACTGTACAGATATAATCAGCAATAATATTAATATTTTTTGTTGTTCTTCGGGAAATTGTCTAACATAAATACAATTCAAAGTGTCTGCACATAGCTGTATAGCAGCTGAGGTGTAGGTCTGCGGCCCTTCCTCATAAGTACGATACGCTTAATATATGTATGTACATATATGAATCGTGTTTGTGTGTTGTTGGATTCCATGTTGCAGTGGCACTTCTGGGTTTGTCACACAACTTAATTAAATTCATAGAGCAGCTCGCACTGTGCTGAAAACTGAATGCATGTGGCGGGGACACGCCCCGGGGGACGCTAGAGGGACGGAAGGGGATTCTCGAGTCAAGGATATGTGTGAGCCATTATCCTGCAAGCTTGAAATTCAAGTTGAGCAGAGAAAAACGTTTTATTTGAATATAATTCCGAGTGTTTCTAATTTCTATATGAATTATGAATGCCCGCCGAAACCTTTGTGCCCCCCACAAAGGAGTTCCACAGACGAGTTCTTGAAATGAAGTCGTCAGAAATGGTCCATGGATTAATTGAATTTCACGCTGCATAAAATGAAGTGCGCTCTTCTGGACGGGCAGGATGAGCCCGACCTTGCCACCAAGGCAGAGTTCACAATAGATAGGGAGAGACCGAGACGAAAACCCAGTTATATTCAAGGAAGTTTTGCAGTTATATTTCTGTATAAATTTTTATTTATTTCTTTATCATGTATGTACCACAAAACGGCCCAAGACAATGGACAACTGCTTCGAGATAGCAATGGCAGAAAAGGAATGGACGAACAGCTATGGGAATGGGTTTGGAAATGGAAAATGGATAAGTACAAAGCGCACCCCAGGAGCGTCTTCATCTGCCCCTGCGTCGTGGTGATTATGGCGTTGCCGAGTCCCGGCGTAAAAAAAGGCCAGATAAGTTATTGTAACGAGCGAGCAACCCCTGCAAGGGCCTAGGGCTGTAAAAATAGGACAAGTTCACGCACACACACACACAAATATATGTATATACACACACACACACAGAGTGTGGAGGGTGCGCCGTTAAAATGAGTTACGAGCTCTGCCATTTTAAATTAAAATAGCAGGCAGCATCCATTGCGGCAGGCAAGATGGAAATGGCAAAGAAAAATGAAAAAAGGTCAAAGGCCGTTTCAACCCCAAGTTTGTCTACAAAATGGTCATGTTGACAGAAGTAAATCTTTTGAATTATCGCATTAGAAGGCCGCATTCTCATGGATAAATTTCGTGCCCGCTGCCCAATGAAGCCATGCCATAAATAATGCCAATGTCACTTGGGTATTATAAAGGATTTTCGGTCTGCATATCGTATTCTATCTTATTCGTATTGTTGATTCAGGCATTCTTTTCCGATTCATCCGGGGTTCAAGTTCAACAGAACACTGTAAAAATAATAAACTCAATAAATACGAGGAGACAAAAATATTTCTATATAAACATATTTTTTGATTTAAAATTTAATTCACTGGACACCAGCACACACAAACACTTAAACTCGGCATTAAACATCGAGAGCAAGCAACAAATTCAAATGCAAAACATCGATCTTTTTCTTTTTACTGCAACACGGTAATAGTAAACAGATCTTCTGGTGCGACGAGATATTCAAATTTGCGTGTTTGCACACGCAGATAGCAGAGCTTGTTTGTCGGATCCAGATCCCGGATGGCGCTCTGCACGATGCCGACCAAAATGCCATTCATGTGCTTCACAATGCCCTGGGCACTGGTATTATCGAAAGAGGTGGCCGCCACATTGCCGGTGGTATTATCAGAGACCACATAGCCCAGTGTATTCTCAGCTGTAATGCGATCCGTGTTGGCAGCGTGTCTGTGAATTACATCCTCCAGCGCGCGATTCATTGTGGCTCAGCTTATTTACCAGATTTTAGAAAATTTTTATTGATATTATAAATATTCAAAAATATTGTTGCCTATGTTTTCAATGTGAGATTTGTTGTTTAACTGAAACCTAGAAATTTGGCTTATCATAGCTGGGTAGAGATTTTAAAAGGTTACTTAGTTTTATTCTATTATTAATTCTTCAATCAAGACGCCATTCGTTTTATATTCTTATTCTTATATTCTTATTCTTACAAAATTTTTAAGGAACTCCTCAATATGATATATGGTGCAATCCTACTGCATTTTATACAAGAAACGTTTTGCCATTCATAAGGTATATCTGATTATCTCACAAATATTATGAGAAAATTCCATTTATCTATCTTGAATTTTATTATGCATAAATGCCATTGAACTTGTCTGGGCTGCTCTGAGGTCAGTTCAAATTACTCCACTGAATTGATATGAACGTTGGATCGCGGCGGCTCAAGTGGTCGCATGGTTGCCACTGTTGTTGCTGTTGAGACCGCGCCCCCAATCTCTTTGTGTAGCCCACAGGCCGCCTCATCAAGCGGTTCTCATTTCATTTTCATGCGCATTTAATGGCGTCTGTTATTGACTTTTAACTAGATTTCCACTTCAGCCCGCCCGTCGACTCCATTGCGCTTTTTAATGTACTTTTATTTTTAGACGATGGCACGGTCCGAGTTCCGAGTGCCTCGCCTCCCGCCTCCCGTTCCACCCGTGTCGCCGCTCATCAGCAGCTAATTGAGTTTTTGACTTTGAACCGCATTTCTCTGCTGGCGATTGGCCCAGGTCATTGACTTGCCAAGAAGCGGCTTTAATTGCGATTAGCTTAAAGAAATCCACAAGCAGCCAGCATAAATCAAATGCCTCAAGTCGCAAATAGCCATATTTAGCTAGTTCTCGGTCTAAGCCGGGCCAATGCTCATCTGTATTCAGGGCTCTACACATTTTGCCGGCCAAGTGCTTGTCGGACAAGACCGGCGAGTGCATATGCAGGTCCCCCGACTGACGGCAAGCCAAAAATGGCCACTTGAGCACCCACAACGACCATAAACCACTTTTGGACATGTTGTTGTGCCAACAACAACAACAACAACAACAACAAAAACAATAACATCAACAACAACTCAAATGTGTTTTTCCCAGTGTTGGTCAATAAAATGTGCATAAATTTTGGTGCCATTCAACGGCCAACTGAAACTGAGTCGGGCGCTGGGCTCGGCGGAGCCACTCATTTAACGGCTAGCAGCCAGGACCAGGCCTTACAAATATGAACCATGGTGAAAAACAAATCATATCAATGAAGAAAAAATATATTTTTATTAGGAAACAAATATATTTTTAAGCAAAGTTTATAACGAGTACACGCAAAAGTTGTATGCATGGTAAAAAAATATCTTTACCTAAATATAATTAAAGCTGATAAACTCAACCTTATTTGGAAGAATACAAATTTCAAAAAGAAATTAAAAAGTAACAGAAAAATATTGTCTTAGTTGCGAATTTGAATACCTGGCTGGGGCATGAGACATTTAAAGGCAAGAGATATTTAAAGCTCACATTTATGCAAAAGTAACAATAAAAAATATTTTGCAATACTTGCTTTTAATTATTTGATTTGATAAATTCGTAGTATTATAAGTAATGTATTTAATTAATAAATCATTATCCTTTAGCAAGCTATCACACTCACAAAATCAAGTGCGAACTTCTACCAAAGATTCTATTTATTGTTTAATTGAATTTTCTTATTTTTATTGACTAATTCAATCCCATTGTACATTGGCTTCTCTCTGCTGGCAGTTCGGGTGGCTCTGTTGACCCGCTGGAGAATGATATATGGCCGCCAAATGCAAAACGGCAGATTTGTATGCCGTGGTGCGACGCTGGGGATTTGGTTAGTTGGGCCGAGCAAAATGAATTGTGCTTTGGGCTTGAATTTGTGTTGCAGCACGAGTATAACAGCCATTTGAAACTATGCAAAATCCGAGCTCGTAAATTGCCAGAAGTGCAACAACAGCATATCTCGCCTGCCTGCCGCCGCATGCTATGCGCTTATCTGTGAGGGTCTATGTGGCCGGTGGCATGGTGCAGCATGGTGTTGCAGTTGCGCCTGGCGGGGATTAGGCGGCATCGCTGCTCGCTTATCGAAAGCCCAAAATAGTTCAGCATTATGCAGAGCTCATAAATCATTTAATTAGATCGGTATCGGTATCAAGGCGGGCGCATCACTCCACCGCCAGCAGAACCACTCGAATGGCGATGGGTCAGAAGGCTCGACAATGGCGGCCGTAAATGCATAAATAACAAATGTAGACGCTTCGCTCGAAGTTCTTTTGTTAATTACCAAAACCAACACACGCGCTCAAAAATTGAATTAAAACTCACATAAAAGTCGCTTTTCCTGTGGGCCGCAGCACTTTCCCTGTTACATTTACCGCTTGCAGAATATGCAAATGAGCCTTTGAGTATTTTATGCCGCCCGCTTTGGCTCGAGATTCGTTCAGAGCTCGACCCGGGCTCGGTGAACGCCCAGCGGTCAGCCGGAGGCCGCACTTCACCTACATTTGTATCTGTATCTGGTTTTGCTTTTTTGTCGTTCTTGTTTTTTGGGCTCAGCGAAAGGGCAACATGCCACACATGGCACAAATTGGACCGCACGTCCGTTCTACCCGTTCTTTTAGGCCAGTGTCCCAAATATCCTTTGCCTCAGTTCCCCCACAGACACACTGACATACATCCAAGCTGCGCCAGTTATGGGTTCAACTCCACATATCATCAACGCAGTCAACAGAGTCCAGATTCATTATAAACACACACACGCACACACACTCACACATTCGCAGAGTAATTTATAATACATATACAAGGACTCATAAATAAGGAGCCACACTCACATTTTTTCATATATATGTCGACTGGCACTCACCTAAATGCATTTGGAATTTTTAATGCTCATATGTTGTACTTTTGTTTTACCATCTGTCAAATTAAGGTTTAAATCACGTTCTTCTTCTGTAAACACTCAACATATTTAAGAGAGTCAAGAGTATTAGCAAATCGTTTATATTTAATATTGCACCAAGCTTGTATATGCCAATAGGTTAATCTATTCAAAGAGAACAATATCAAATTAAGTCTAGGCATGTCTAATGATGCTAGAAGAAGATAATTGCTGAGTATATATTTCAGTTACATGTAAGAAGAAGATGATACAAAATTTCTATTCCAACTCTATCTCCATTCGTCAATTAAGTTTAAATATACCCAATACAAATACAATTTTCACATAATATTTTTTAATGTCCTTGGAAAGCTTCAAGATAAATATGGATCAATTCTTTGCCTATTAAGCAGCTCTTAATTTTCTTTATATTTAACGTGGAATTTATTCGCCATTTCCCGAATGCTTCATACATAATTGAACCCTCATGAATTGGTTAATGAGCAGTTAGTGCCCTTATGCATTGATAGGCCTAATTATAATAAAAAATTGAATTATTTTTTCACTCCACAATTACACCAAAATATATTCTTTTCACTTGAAAGGCGTGCATTTGGCATCTATCGTAAGTCGCATAAATGTTGTTTATAGAAAATATCACGTAGTTTTAAGTTTCTGTTCCATTTTTTAACTTTTTGACTTTTGTAAGTTCGAGGTTTTTTCTGCTGTTTCATTTTCTCACGCATTATTTCACACAATAAAAACGAATTATTTATTCAGTTGATTGTTCAGTCGGGCAATTAAAAATCGTTCGAATGTGCATTCAATATTCAATCTTGAGAAATAGCTTTCGGTTCGTGAGCTTAATGCGCGCTTGTAAATAAATATGGGCAACTGGACAGTTTGTGAGAGGAACTAAACGATTTGCCATTAGCACATAATTTCAACATTTTAATAACAAATTTAGCATGAATCGCGAATAAAATCAATTGAAAACAATAAAAACTGTGAAAATACTGCAGCCGCTAAACGAAAGTCCCATTGACAAATGGCATTATTTGCGGGGCAGATTTATTTTATTGACTTCTAAATATCAGCTAATTTAAGGCAGTTATCTAGACGAAGCGAGAGCTCGTATGCAAATGTCGGTTGTCCCTGATTTATACAGCTGTGGGCGTGGGCCCACTCTGATCTTCCCTATAAGTTGCCTATAAATCGTGGCGGGTAGAGGTTTGAACGCAAGGTGAAAAACTGCGCGTTTAAAATAAATCTTTGAAATGAAATTAAGCAAGTCGATGCGACTCGTTTCGCGCATGCCAAATGGCTGCAAAATAAACAGGGCATAAATTCAAATTTATTTCGGCAAGAGTTCTTGATAACATCTAAGAAATCTTTTTATTTTTTGCTTAAAACATGAGCTGACAAAAAATGTATAGTCAATTTTATATGCCAGAAGGTGAGAGATTTTTATTTCTGTTGGTTTTTTTTTTTGCTGGTGTTGTTGTTGTTGTGTGTAAACACAAAGAAGACTTACAAAACAAAGGCAGGCACAAAGGGAACAAGAAATGAACAAAAAAGACGCATTCAAAAGATAAATTTCTTAATTTAAATTCAGACCCCAGCGCTGAGTTGCCAACGAGTCGAGTTTTTGGGGTTTTGCCCCTCCACAAAGCCAGGGAGGGGAAGAGTGAACAAAAATGGTTTTCATTTCCGTTACAAATGTTTTCAATTTGGTTGGAGATGAGCGCACAGAAGAAGAAGAAAAATGAATCCCAAAATTCAATTTTCAAACGTTTTATTTCGACAACATTTTGATTTAGTCGCACAATTTCTGTGTGCGCGACTCGTTTTGAATATTTTACGCATTTGGCTTTCGATTTTCTCGGTTTTCGTTTCGTTTCTGTAACTATGAAATATTTATTATTCAAATTTGACTCTGGCATGGCACCTAAATCATGCGACAGGCTCATTCATGCGATACACAGCACGCCTAAAAGATACAGATACAGCTACAGCTACAGATACAGATGTAGATACTCGCACAGATGCAGATACAGATACTCGTACAACATGCGTTAGCTGTTCTTCCATCTTTTTTTTTTCGTCGCATGATTTAGTTGCAGTCATAAATATAATTTTAAGCTTTTTAGGTAT